CATACTCACAGAGATGGCCCAAAGTTGTGTCGGGAGGTTGGGTTGGATATCAGGGAAAGGTTCTTCACCCAGAGGGTGGTTGGGTGCTGGAAGAGGTTCCCCAGGAAAGTGGGCTGAGTGGTGTCTCCCCAGTCTCCTCCAGGCCGAACAGCTCCTGCTGTTAATGTTTTAGTGCAGGCCTAAAGCTCCCAGCCTTTAATACTCTCTTGACTGGAGCTCTTGATATTAAAAACCAGAACCATGATCATGGTGGCTGCAGAACAAACCCAGCGGATCTTTCCCCTCTCACAACGTGTGTCCTGAGCACCTCTGCAGTGCATGGATAACTTTCCAGTGCTGTCTGAGTGCTGGCAGACCAGCATGTCCCCTGTCAGCTGGTCCCTGGGTGCAGTTTGACTCCAGCTCTCTTTCCCCAGACCCCCAAAGCTGACATGTGCTCGAAGCTGGGGATGGACCTGAAGCGGACGATGCTGCTGCGCCTGGCACGGAGGGATCCCAGCCTGCATCCCAACGACCCAGCCAAGAGGGAGGCCATCTATGACAAGTACAAGGTGGGTGCCTGGCCTGCAGTGCCCACCCTGGGGTTTGTCCAGGCTGTCCAATCACCACCTGGTGCTCCAGGGTGTAGGCAGAGAAAATCTAAACATCACCAGGTTTTCCTTGTCTCTCTGTGGGTTCCCAATCTCTGTGCTCACCATTTAGGAGCACAACAAGCAGTACTATTGCTGTGATTTGAGATCAGTGAGGGTCTGCAATAAGCACAGGTAGGAGCTGGCACTGCCAAAGCAGTGAGGATTTGTACTGACCCTGCAGTGAGGAGCCCAGAGTGCCCCTGGGCTGTTCAGTTTTGTGAGCTGGGGGTGGTTGCCAGCGTGGAAACATCACCAGCACCCCCAGTCCATGGAGCTGTGCTGAGAAACAGCCCCAGAACTACACAAAAGAGAGCTGCAACTACAGATCAGATAAAGCAGGACCCCTGCTAAGGAAGGAGGAGAGCAGGGAAGTGGGCTTTGGTTGCCAGAAATGAGGGAAGAGTGTTATAAGATTTGTCCACAGTAATGTTCTTACTGGATCATCTTTATGTCCTGGGCATAGAGAGGATTTGTATCTTGGTCACCTACAAAGATTGTACCACCTGCTCCTCCTTTTACCACAGGAATTTGTGATCCCAGAAGAGGAAGCTGAATGGGTTGGCTTGAGTTTGATAGAAGCCATAGAAAAACAGAGGCTCCTGGAAAAAAAGGTGAGTTCCTGAGGCAGTGCTTAGCACTGAGGTGTTGTGGCTGCACATCCAGCTGAGCTGAGCAGCCTGAACACTCCTGAGCCACAAACCCTGTGGGGCTCCAGCTTCTTCAGGGATGTGTTCACCCACGTGCTTCAGGACAGCTCTGATGGTGGGCAATGAGGGGAGGGAGGGAAGCTTTTTAGAAGGAAAGGGATCTCTGGGAGCTGCTGATGTTTCTCATGTGCTGTCAGGACTGGGGAAGCTGCTGAATGTCCCACAGGAGCCTGTCACCTCTGAGGGAGGACTAGAGAGCTGAGCAGCAGCTGTGGCTGGAGGATCAGCCAGTGAAAAAAGCCTGGTCACATCTTCCTCTGGTTTTACCTGTCAGCACTCCCTGAGCTCCCCACTGCACTGCTCAGGTTCACTCCTTCTCAGTGGTGTCTCCTCTGCTCTGCTGCAGGACCCTGTCCCACTCTTCAAGGTGTATGCTGAGGAGCTTGTCAACCGACTGAAAGAACAGGCAGCCCAGAAACAGTAGAAGAAAACAAGCTTCTGGAGCAGAACCTCTGCTGTGGATGGAGCTGTGGGATTCAGTGGGTCTGCTGTCTGAACCACACTGCTGGGGAAGGGGCCACATGAAGAGTGTGCCCAGGAGCATGTTATTGAAGTCTAATGACAGCCTAAATTCAGTGAGGACCTGCTCCTGTGGGCTGAGGAAGGAGTTTCTGTGCTGTGGCCTCTGAGAGCGTTCCTGTCAGACTGACTTAGTGTGGGTTTTTTGCCTGTACAAGCAGTTGACTGCTGTTGAGAGCTTGATCATGATATAAAATGAAATATATTTTGGGAATATCAGTAAACTTTTCTAACTTTTCTCTGATACTTACTGCTCATGAGTGTGTTACAGCAGGGACTGTGAGACACTGTGCTGGTGTAACTCAGATCAGTCCCCAGCCTTGTGCAGCAGACGTGGTTGTGCCCCCAAAAGTGTGGCCCCAAACCCCTGCCTCAGCAGGTGGGGCTGGGCCACACAGCTCACTAACCTCTGGGTTACTGCCCTGTTTCTCTTTGAAATTGGTGACTTTTAAATCTTTCATTTTGTACAAATGTAGTCGAAATGGGTGTTGAAGCCTTTGCTGCTGTCTGGCAACAAGGGAGTGCAAAGCACTTGCCATAATTACAGGCTGGGGAACAGCACTGTGTGTCCCTGGTGTTGTTTGGAAGCTTCGTGGTCCTGCAGTGGGTTTCTGGGTGGATCAAAACCAGCCTCTCCCCCTCTCCCTTCAGCTCTGAGGGGAGGGACAAGCACAGAGCTTGCAGGCTGGACCTTTTGTGAGCTGTATCTCTGGATCATTACTTGCCCCCAGAAGAGACTTCTCCTTAACCATGTCTTGGGTTGAGACATGTTCCCCCTCTCTGGTTCATCAGGGCAAGTGCACTGCTCCATTTGTGAGCCACAGTGACTGAGGAGAGAGAAACTGGGCTTGTAGAGCAGAGTGTGGTTCGTCCCCTCTGCACTGGAGTGGAGGAGGACCACGGGGGAGTGGCACCCAGTGCCTTAAAGCTTTGGGGGAGAAGAGATGCAGAGGCAGGTGCTGGGTAAGCACAGAGCCTGTGCAGGGCTGTGCTGGGGGTTGGGGTGAGGGACGTGGTTGAGTTGAATGTGATCTTAACAGCGTTTCATGAAGATCAGACTTGTCTGCTGCTCCTTGGGCCAGAAAAGGGGCTGGAGCCCTCCCCAGGGGTACTTGAGCCCCCCAGGGGAGTGTGGCACAGCCCCTGACTGGTAGGGCTGGCTGGTTAGGACTGCCAGGCTGAGGCTGTGCTGCCTCTGCAGGGGCACGGGAGGGACAGGTTGGGTGGCAAAAGCTGGGATGTTTCCAGCCTGTGTGTCCCGGCTCCAGTGAGTCCAGGTTCTCAAGAGCAAACTGGCACAGAAGGTCACATTTGCCTAATTAATGATTGTGCAGCTAGGCCAGCACAATGAGATTTGCTTATCTCCTCTCTCTGCTGCAACTGAGCTGAGTGGGAAGCTGCTGCCCAGCTCCTCGGGGACCCTGACACTCTGCCCTCGTTAGAGATAATTAGCTGGGACAAGCTCCTTGTTTGACAGCTCTGCTCATCATTAGGGCCAGCGCAGCTCATGCATTTTAATGGAGCTCCTAGCAAAGCTCCAGACCGTGGCTCTGTCCTGGCCCCCCTCCATGGCTCTGCTGGAACGTGCCAGCACAGCCCCGGCCCCTCGAGCCCGGCTGGCGCCTGCCTGGGTCCTGCTCTCAGCCCTGTGGGGGTCCCGGGTGCCTCACAGCTTCCCAGCAGTGAGGGGGCTCTTTGGGATGGCTGGGGGGGCAATTAGGAGCTGGTGCTCTGGACCAGGGGTGGGAGGGTTGGGACTGGGAGCTCTGGCTGCGTGTCCTCCCAGGGTCAGTACCGCCTGTCCTTGGACCTGACTGTCCTTAGTGCTGCTCACTGTGCAGGATCTGCGGCCTGGGGAAGGTTTGCTGGGTGATGAGGGGTAGAAGGAGCTTTTGGGCAGACCTGGGGGGGAGCTCCTGTCGCACTGGGTGCAAGGGGTGCTGACAGGGGCACTGCAAGAGTGCAGCGGGAGCTTCTCTGTGGGAAGGGGGATGTGGAGAATCCTGACTTCTCAGCTGGAGCCCTCCATTCTCTCATCCTGCCTTTGCTGAGAAACCTTGCCCTTGCTCTTTTCCTTACACCCATGTTGCATGTGGCCAGGAGATTCCCCCCAAGGATGTTCTTTCATGGAGCGCTCTGCTGCCTTGAGGAAAACTGGAAGCTGTGGACCAGGGGTGCTGCAGGCTCCAAGGAAGCAGAGTTGGAGCACACAGAGCTGGCTGTCCCTCTGCTGGGCACAGAACCAAATGTCTCAGGTGGGGAGGGAGCCCCTGTGCAGCATTTGGGGTAGTCTGGGTTATGACACCCCCAGCCAGGCTCCCTTGAGGAGGTGGAGGAACAGCTCAGGGCACAGTGTTAGACCTGTCCTGGTTTTACACCTGCTCATCTGCAGCCCTGGCTGCAGCCAGAGAGCTTGGTTCTGCCTGGGGGAAGGCGGTGGTGGTGATGTTTCCCAGTCTAGTTGGGCTCAGTCTGGCAGCTGGCTGGTTCCTGCACTTCCCTGACAAGGGGGGGTCAGAGGAGCTGGTACTTTTCCATTACAACATGCTCCCAGGAAGCACAGATGCCACAAACCCCTGGGTGCAAGTTGGGTGCTGTCAGCTTGAGGTTGCAACTGCACCCCAGGACAGGGGAAGGGCCTGGCTGCCAAGCACAGCTCAGACCTGAGCACTGCCTCGGGCTTCCACAAAGGTCACCAACCCACTGCTCCTGGCCCCAGGCCAGGCACTGGGAGTGCTGGAGGATCCTGAGGATCCCAGGCCCTGCAAATACCAACACAGGCTGGGAGCAGAGAGCAGGCAGCTGGCAAGGACGTGACAGCCACCAACAAACGGCCAGAGCACCCTGCCCAGGGTCACCTTGGGCTTGGCAGCTAAAGACAAGGCTGGGATAGCAGTGCTTGGAAGGGGGAACAGGGAAAATGATCTCACTGAGACTGCAGTAGAAGGAAGGCAAGTGGAAGGCTGAGAGAGGCATGAGTGCTGATATCTGGGAAGGTAGAAGGTCGATCCAGGACTGAGGGATTCCTGTTTAATTCGTTCCTCGGGTGACAAAAACATGCCATTCTCTTTAACAGTCCCAGCAAGCCACAAACATGAAACTGCCCCTTGGAACATGATATTTGGTCCCACGTGCCAGCTGTGGAGGGGGCTTGGTGTGGAACCATCCCCAAACCCAATTCTGCAAAGTAATAAAGCAGAGGAAAAGGTTAATTGGGGAAAGTACCTAAACTGGAAAGGCCTTGAGTGGGATGGCTGGACTAATCCTGCTGTTTAGCAGTGGCAGGACACAAATACAGACTGCACAGTTCTGAATTCTGAGGGCTGGGATCTTGAATCAACATTTGAATTTTGTCTGTTTCACTTGTGATTCCCAGCAAGTCATGGATCCAAAAACCAGCTTGAGGTGAAGGCTGTGTTTCTCAACAAACTCACTTCCTTGTAAATTCCCAACTAACCTCTCTGTACTTAAACAGAGGAATATTTGGGGAGTATTAGCAAAAGCATCATGTCCCTGCCTTTCCTGCTGGTCTCATAGGTAAACCTGTCTTTTCCCTCCTGGCTTGGAGGTTCTTGGTTTGGAGTTGCCACTGCAGAAGGATGTGACTTTTAGGAATGCTGTGAATCATCCCAAACCTGGTGTCAGCACAGGTCAAAATGTAGCCTGAAAGTCATCCCACATCCTATGGAGTTTATTAAGAACAGTTGAGAGCTAGAAACTCACCTGGGCAATTCCAGCAAATCCTTTCAAACATTGCTGTGGTGTTTGTTTTCAAATGAAATGGGGCTTGATTCCTACCAGAAAGCTGGACTGGGATGCTGAGGCTGTTGGGGCTGGGGGTACGTGCTGTGCTCACCCTCACAGCTTTGCTCACTCCTTGGGATTTGCTCTGTGGTGTTTAGAGGCAATGATAAACATCCTGGTGGCTCTGTCAGTGAGTAACACTTGTGACAAATCATTCTGGATTTTTGGGATCAATATGGAACCAGGCTCGTTGCAGAGGGAAGGGCAGAAGGCCATAGGGATTGATGTGGGAAATGCTGGCTGGACATAAGGAAAAGCTTCCCCAGGAGGGTGGTGCAGTCCTGGGACAGGGTCTGGAGAGGTGCTGGCACCTCTGTCCTTGGAGGTTTTCAAAAGGACAGGGGGAGGTGCTGAGTGACCCCCTGGAGCCTTGCAGCCAGTTCTGCTCGGAGCAGGAGCCTGGGCTGAGACCTCCAGAGGTCCTCCCAACCTCACTGATCCGTGCTGCAGCTTCTGCAAGGCAGTTCCTCCTGCAAAGCAGCTCGAGGAGGGGGTGAGGAACACCAGCTCCCAGGTGCTGGCTGGAGGGGAAGGGCTGTGTCTGGGCAGGGGCAGAGGGAGTGCAGTAGCTCTGTTCCCTCCTTCCTCCAGGGAATGGACAGTCACCATCCCGCATGAACCTCCTTCTGCAGCCACAGGCTGTGCTCTCTCTTCTCCCAGAGAATTGCCTCGTGGGCCAAGCCATCACCTCCAGAAGTGGCTGTGGGCAGGGATGGCAGGATGGAGCCCTTGGCTGCACACTGGATCACCTGGAGCCCAGCAAAGTGGAGCAGCAACAACCCAGCACTGCGTGGGCATCCCTGGGGCTGTGCCCAGCAGAAGGCCCATGAGTGACTGCTGGTTTTGCCAGTCCTGCTGGTTCCTGACACCCTGCTCATCCTGGCCAGCTGTCCCAGCCCTGGAGGGGACGAGGCAGGAGAGGGAATGGCCAGCTGTGTCACGGCAGAGCTGGTGGTCTGATGGTCACGGAGTGCTGTGGGCAGGACACGTGGGCTCAGGGTGACACAGCCAGGTGAGACCATCCTGCTGCCAGCCACAGGGTCTGATAGAGCCTGGGGAGGGAGGAGGAGAGATGGAGAGGGACATGGGTGCTTAGTTTTTATGGTAAGGAGTCATAAGAAAGAAAAAACCAACCCATAAAATCTACATGTGCAAATTAATCACCCGAAGCATCTGCTCCCTGAGGTGTTCCTGCTGCAATCCCTCCTGCAGCCATGTGCTGAGCTGGGCTGGGGCTGCTGGACCAGGCGAGCTGGGCACACAGAGCACAGATGGATATGTGGAACTACCTCCATGCCCAGCTCCTGCCACACACCATGGGCTCAGGGCGGGTTCCTTGGCTGCAGGAGGAAGGGCTGGGGGTGCAAGGAGCAGCTGTGTCAGCTCCAGACTGGCCACAGGGGCCTTTGCCTGGCTGGACTCTGTTCTGTGCATCCATTGCA